AATGCAAATTTGAAGTTACAATGCGCCACTGGATGGACATTTAGATGTATTAATTCTGCACTTCTGAATTCTTTAAATGAAAATAATTGAAAATATACGTTTTGCTAATTTTGTGCTGATAGAGAGCTTTTAAGAATATTTTTCGTCTCTGGCATTCCATATTACTTTTGGAAATTACGGGTGCTGAGAACACACGGCAAATGAAGTGGTGTTCGGATGGACCTAGCGCTACTTCGTTTGTCCAACCTGAATCAGCAGAAATTACGGGTATCGTATTTTCGATTTTTGCAGATGCTCAGCAATATGTCATACCCGATGCGTAGTATATATTCTCAAATGGTCTGCCCAAAGCACGTATTCTGTATTATTTTGAATTGGGTTTATTGAAAAGTATATCTTATACTATAGGGCGAGTATGTTTTTCAATCAGAGAAATATCGGTCAAATGTCGCTTGGACCGATTGACCAAATTGGGTCTGCGTTTAATGATTTACCTTATGATTTTTAACCGCGGAGAAATACATTTAATAAAGCTTTTTGATAATGATATAATGTTCTTTTTTATAGTTTGTGTCTCCCTTTTTTTATAGTCTGCAAGCGCCGCTGAAAAAGGGCACGTTTCCTTAAATTCAGAGGCTCCTATATAGAAATATAGTAATTATATATCATAAAATTACCTGAATCATTTAACAGAGCCCGAAATTAGTTTGTGCTTAGCCTTGGTTTATTTGTTTACGGGAACGCGATCTGCCAAGGGAATGTCTTCCGGGAGGACTTTCTAAGAGAAACTGGCCCGTATGACAAACGTATAGAAAACCCGGAAAACTTCAGGTAGTCAAGACGTGAACCCACGACCTGGTAAGAAGCACCGAACACTGGTAGTTACCAGTGTTCGGTGCTTCTTATCCACTCGGCAAGCGGTACCTATAGACTATACCAAAGGGATGCAATTAGGCTAACTTGGGCTTGAAAGCAAGGAACATTCCTTGTTTTCAAGGTCAAGTTTCGGTCAACATACGACGAAGTTACATGGGACAATGGACAAATACCGTCCATTAGTTTCTTTTATAGGCTAGAAGTCATGAATTTTCTGCCGTATGCTGAGAACGGAATTCGGATCCTTCTTGGGTATTAGGAAGAGCGACACAGACGAAAATCGGGACACTTGTCCTATGCAATGACGCATACAGGGGACTAGGATCCCTGCACCCCAAAGACAAAGGAGTAAAAACACTAAANTATTATTAGTAATAGAAAATTCAATTTATAAATTGAAAAGACTGAAGATGCATCATACAGCTAACTATATGAAACAAAGTTGACACTCATAGTAAAATGGAGTGTACTGTACAGTAAGGTTTGTTGCTGGTTACACTGATGATTGTACAACATTGCAGGTATTTCCATTTTCTGAAGTGCTCTAAGCATTTTGCCAATCACAGAAAAGCTAGTTATGATGGCTAGATAGTCAAAGGGGCTAAGGTGTCTGCTGCTTCTGTGGGAGCCCAGATTCAAGTTGAATCCTTAGGAATTTATTGTGGTGATCTGGTCTGAATATGTCCTATTGCTCTCCATTGGTTGTATTTAAACATTTGTATAAACATGTATGATACACCACTGATAAATAGAACAAACAAAGATATACAAAGGATGTGGCACAGACAGGGTGTGATATTCACAGACTATCTGCTTAAAAATGCATTGGCAGCTTTGAGATCATACTTTACCCATGACAAGATGATGCATATCTTGTCATTGATGTACAATATTCTAAAATCACATCATATAAACAATAAACAATTAGGATAAGTAAAGAAACATACTTAAATGAGCAAAAAATTGGGTTACCTATTTCCAATAGCAATAATTGTAACAGAAGTTTTTAAAGTGAAATGAATTGAAAATGGAAGAGAATTCTGCAAATATTTTGAAATTCATATATTCATTAAAGTATACTTTTTGATTTTTTATAAGATTAGATAATTTTTAAAATTAATTCTGTTTTAGGAAAATACAATTTTAATATTCCTTAAAAGTTTAAACATTAATTTTCACATCATATTACTGATATATCAATAATAAACATAAAGACAACATTGAAAACTATCTACTTCAGTCTTCATATAATCACATTTATTCCTTATGAATTTATTAAATGTATTGAATAAATTTACTGATGATCAAACTGACTATCCAACTTTGCATGCAGTTTTTTGAAAATATTTATTTTTATCATAAAAAAAATGTACAGTTTCATAACTTTTGATTAATTTTTTTATAGTTACTGCCATTTATAATCTTTACAACAAACAATAACAAAATTTTAAATTACTGGTAGTTACGCAACATACTAATTTATTTTTGTATTAGATTCTAGTTTATTTCATTTTTTTAATTTTTAATAGTCTAGAAAACACCAATGTAATCTATTTATAGTAATTATAATAAATGAGGTTAACTAGTAAATTTTGTTCAGTTTATACTTCATTATCTTTAATGAATGTCTGCTCTACTACAAAAATTCAAAATTTAAAATAATTGTAAAAATTAAATAAAATAGTAATTTCTTATCATTTACTATTAAAATTGCAAATTGTTTAGAGATTATTTTTAAGAAAGAATTTTTTTGCTTTTGGATCTTGTTTCTAGCATTTAAATTGATTTTCTAAATGTTCATAACAAATGTAAACTATAGAAATACTGTATTTCCAGAGAACTCTCTAATTTTAATTTTAGTTTCTAGTCAAATTAGAAATGATGATAAAAGAAATATAAACAGATGTGAATAATTTATAAACAATCAGCCCTGAATAACAGTTATGTTAATTGAATATAAACACTTCATCAATCAAAATGAAATCTACTTTAATAAAACTGATATTTATTTTATTTGGAAACATTTTTAAACATGGACTGCAGGTTATCTAATGTTACCATGTTAAGTTTCATAAAATGTAGTAAGATTCACTTTAAAATTTACAAATGATCAGTTATGAAGTTAGTTGTAGAAATAATCATTTTAAGATAAGATTTTAATTAAAAAATTTTATTGTATGATTGAAAATCATATAATATAATCTTTACTTTAGATTATATAAAGAAAAAAATTGTTTCAACTCTTTATTTTAAATCTATATAATTTAGTATATAAATATTATAGACTTTGGTTTAAAATTACATAATTTTAAATAAACAAGAAAAATAAAAATTAAAATATAGAAATGAATGATCTTAATAATTTAATTTCATAGCAATACAGTTACATTGTGATGAGAACAAAATATTCTGTAACACATATTTATGGTATATAATCAGCTTTAAACAAAGCCATATGAAAACAGTTTTTTAGATAACTTATAAAATATATTTTTATCAATATTTCAGTTAAAACCATATTTAAAAAAATCAATATTTTAAGTCCAATAAAAGAATATTGTTAGATTATAAAATAAAAATTACATTTATTTAAGAAATATATATAATTTTAAAACATTCCATACTAATCAAATATTAAATTTTAAAAATTTTATAGTAGAATATCTAAAAAATTAAAGGTATTTTAATATTGAAAATTACAAACATTTTCATATTTATAATGATAATTTTTAATTAATGCTACTAATAACAAAATTATATATAAAGTTAATTCTAAACAATACTGAAAAAATATAAAATACTGTATATATAAATATTTTTTCTTTAATATAAGTCTACCATATCATTTGAAAAAAATTAAATATATGAATTAATTTTAAAACCCAAGTTTACTTTGAATGGAAGTTTTTAATTGCAATGCTAGTAATTCCTTCTTATATTGCTCATTTGGATATATATTATTTTTTGTCTTCCAAATATAAAAATGCTTTATCCAACAACAGATAGATACATCAGCTATAGTATATCACACTACTGATATACAGTATTGCTCATTTGTTCTGACTCCCCATATAACAAGGGACTATTGAATTAAATGAACTACAACAACCAATATTTAAAAAATGATTAGATTGTCTTTCTCATCTTTCAACATTAATAGGATTAAACTGCTACAATAATTAAGTCTCTAGGACATAATATGGAGTCTCATATATATGATCTAATTAGTTTATTTATTAATCAGCACAATTGTTAATCAATAAAAAATATCAATACTGTTAATTACTAATAATCAATAAATGTTACTCCGAAGTTTTTGAACAATTTGATACTAACTTATAGTAATTCAACACCGTAGACAAATAATTCTAAAATTAAGTTTATACTAATTAAAATCCTTTATCTATTAAAAGAACAGTAAACTTTTCTCAGAGTATGATAAAAATTAACAATTTGATATTAATTAAATGTTTTAATTTAATCTTTACTAAAATATAAAAATGTGATGTGATAATTCAATAAAGTTTTAAACATTTGGATTGAAAGTGTGCTCTTTTTCTTAGGCATATTTACTTTTTTCCTGCTCCTTTAATTGCTACTATTCTGTTAATAGCACCAATATCTCCATAAAAGAACAAAAACATCTCCATAAAAGATTTTTCACTAGAAAAAACACATGAATGGCTTTTCTTAAGTCTCTTAAATATTATATATAGCCTATAACAATTCAGATTTTAATTATTTTAGTCTATTTTTTCCTATTTATTATAGTAAATAAATGATCCATAAATAAACTATATTAAAAAAATATTTGTAATAAAGTATATTCAAGACAACTTGAGTATTTTTAAGTTTATTATAATGTGAATTTCATAATCCAATGTGATACCAATTACCAGTAAAATACAGTTCATATTTAGCATACACAATCATGAAAGAATGACAACTCACATTATCATTTTAAATACATTTTTGTAAATACCAAACAGATTTAGAAGTAAAATATACAGAATACTATACTTTTGATTTTATTAGAAATTAAAAAAGATTAAATTTCTAATTTTTCAAACTATTATAAATTTGATGAATATAAACAATTTGCTCAATATTAGAGAAATATGATATATTAAATGAAAAGCTTTTGCAATGATCAGGTAATAGATGATCATATTAAAATATGATTAATATTTGGAACCATGAAAAAAATTTTAAACATTTTTAACAATGATGAATATTTTATTATTATGAAAACAAATTACCTAATCAATGCAAAATCTTATTTAATGATGTTCTGTCATGAAAAATAATAAATATAGCATCATTTTCATTATCGAATTCTGCCAAAAAGTTCATTTCTAGCCTATAGTAACAGAAAGCATTTGATTTTTTTAGATAAATTTACAAATAAAATGGAAAGACTAAATTTAGGATTTGTTTTATTATACACAGTAAAATTCAATCACACTATAATTTGCCAAACTGGCATCTAAATGCATAGAATTTTGCAAGGAAAATTCTTTGAATTAAAATGTACATAAAATCAGAATTGTTTTTATGTGAAACATTTTGTTCAATAGCAACATATTACTTTGATACAGCACAATATTATGTTTATTCTTTTGCTTCTCTGATTTAAACCACGTTGAGAAATACTATAAAACTAATTCTAATAAACTATTATAAACAATGTTAGATATTTCACATATATTTATTATATTTACAAATACCAATTAAAAATATCAGCTCAAACCAAATGAATTATAAACAATGGCAATGAAGTTTCTCTTCAAGTGCATAAAACAGACAAATTTTATCCAATTTTCTTTTTTATAAAAATTTAAACAATTACAATAAGAAGAATTCAGTTAGATAATTTTCTAGATTATAGAATTATCTACAATATGATGAAAAGCACAGATACACCAATTTTTTTTTAGTCTGAATATTAATCTTTCTTCTAAACATACAGTGGACTCAAAGTATTTTATTACATTTTTAATTTAATACTGCAAATAGACCATAAAACAAATTCATTGAGTGTAATTGATAAAAATAAACAATAAAAACTGGACAAGACTGTTTAAAATAATATTAGACTCACATAAAAATTAGGAATGCCCTATGATTTATGATGATATATAATAATATCAAAATTCATATAAGTCCTCTCTTTTTTTTATATTCTTCCAAATTGAGAGAACGTTTTGGTGCACTATCTTTAATGGCAGTGTGTCTAACAGCTGGAGTTAATGAATCAAATCGTAAGGGTACATCCAAATCTATTTTGATATCAAAATCATGTGCCGAGAATAAATCTTCATCAGGATGATAGGTAACTGATTGTTCTTTCTTTTCTACGTCATTTTTCATTTCGAGTTTTGTACTTTCTACTTCGTCATCTTTTTTACGTTTTAAATCCTTTTGCCTCTGTTGTTCTTTTGTTACTGGTACTTCTTTGTTGTATGCATCGCGTGGTTTTGTCACTAGAGTTGGTGCACATCTTCTCCTTGTAAATGGGTCATCTTCTCTTTCTCGTTTTTGTCTTGCTTCTTCTAGAATTGCCTTTTCTGCATCAACAATGTTTCTTTGCCTATTTTTTTCATTGATGTAGCTAATGGCACTTATATTACTAGTTCGTAACTTATCCAACTTCTTTGCTCTTTCTTCAAGTTGATCTAACTCAGTAGCTAACTGATGTGCTTCACTGAGGTTACCATTCTGTTCAGCTAGTTCTTTTTGTTTTATTAATTGAGTTTTTCTAACTGCATAATTATGAGGGGTTCTTTTAAATTTTTCTTTTTCCTTTATAATAGTTTCAATGTCATCATCTTTGTATTGGTAATTCATTGCATCTTGAATATCTCTGATTTTGCGATTGATATCCTCTACAGTAGGGAGAGATAAGCCCTCCAATAATAATGCTTCTTTCCATTTAAAAAATTCATTGTCTAAAAAATCTTGATTTGAAACAAATTCTAAACGAAAAATTCTTTCTTGTCTTCCATGATTTACCTTCAAACCTTTATTTGTTCTGGTGTTTCCCAACTGGTAAACTTTCCCTGTTTCAACAACACCAGTAATCTCTGCAACTCTATATACGGGTCGACCATTATTTGAGCCTATTCCAACTCTAACAAAACATCCAGTGACAGTTTTAGCAAAAAATGGTGCATGAACCCATCTTTCGAGTTTGTGTCGTGACAAACGAATCTGGCCTAGTTCTTCCTTATTTGACACATAATGATGCTTGGGCACTTCACTTTCTTCCTCACTTCTCGAACAATAAGAAGCAACACTTTTCTCTCCTCCCGAACCACTAACATCATCATCGTCATCATCCGAATAAATGTCACTAGCTTTCAATTTTGTTTGTTGCCAAGTATCGGCTACAGGTAATTCTTCTTCTACTTTATTTTGCTCTAATTCCACTTCCGCTTTCTGTAATACTATTTCCGCTTGTTTTTTACGTTTTTCTCTTTCCGCTTTCAGATCTTTAATCGCCTGGGCTTTCTTATCCGTTTTATCTTTCTTCTCTTCGACCATTCTTCGTCGCTCCTTACTACGAAAACTAGCGGAATTTTTTAATTTTGTTTCTTCTTTTTTGGCTTTTCTTTTTTGTTCTTTCTTTTTGGCCAATCTTAATTTTCTTTCAATTTCAAATCTTGTTCGAAGAACTTCACGTTTTTCGATTCGATTGAATAATTCCTGTTCTCGTTCTTTTTCAGTCATCTGAGCCAACCTGGCTTGATCTTCTTCGTCTCCCATCAAGTTTTCGTCATAGCCATCGTTAAATTCCTCATCGTCTGCAGAGGAATCGTCGCTGCCACTCGCATCCTCTCCGCTATCCGAATCTGAGACTTCGCCTTCTTCCAACTCGGAACTGGAATCTTTGGTTTCACCTCCTTCCAAAGAAACAGACTTTTTATTTCCTTTTCCCTTGGATGGTTTGGTTCTTTTTTTCTTAGCACCTCTGCCATCCACTGTCCATTCCTCGTCACTTTCTGACGTTTCTGAATCTGAATCTGGGCGATTTGTATTAGTGACAGGTTTGCTTGCTGGCATGGCAGGCGGAGGTACTTCTTTCGATGCATTTTCATTTTCCGAGCGTTTTCTTTTCGCCAGGGACAAGAGTTCTTCGTCCAGATCTTCAGGACTTTCACTCTCGTCACTACTGGACTCAAATACAACCCGATTCTTCTTCCGCTTAACCATTTGTACTTTTACTTCACTCAATAATTGCCACTAAGCACTTATATTTAATATTAAATAGAAAATTTGAACTTACATAAGTCATCCTCGATATTTTTGACAATAACATTTGTGAAAGCGCGAAAATGGAGACAAGCACAAGCCACAATTTCCACAAAAACATCGAGCGATGGCGCCGCTTAGCGGACGTTTCCGATTGTAAAGAACAAATTCAAAATATTTCGTTTATAACCCGAATACGTCATCAATGTCGTCGTATATAATTTTAACTAACTGATTTTTTAATTTTGAGAAATTCCTTTCCATTTTATTTATCTTCCTATAAAATATACACATTAAATAAATTATAATTAATTATTTCTTTCCAAATTTGTTTTTCTTAAACCGGTATCTTATTTCATATTTAAAATTTTGTGTACAATCGATTTCTTTAATAAAAGTATTTCCATCGGCGACGTACTTCCTTAAACATTACAAATCAAACTTGTTGGCCGTTAAGATTTGAAAAACATATGGCATGTATTAAAGTGACACTGAAAATATTTCGTATAGAATTCGGTTAAGACAATAAGATACGTAAATCAGACATTTTTATTCTATATTAACTTTTATGGTGTTAATGTCTTATGGAAGGAGAGCTATCAGAGAGGGCTTATCAGATTAAAAAAAAACCGCTTATCCAAAATAGAGGAATGGAGAATACCATATAGTAATTCTGGATCGGAGCTATTTGATTTTACGTTTAAGAGGGCCTCAAAAATATTTATTACAAATGATTCATTCTATTACATTTCTTGTATATTAAGAAATTTTGCAATCAAATGTTATTACTTTAAAATATTAAATTTTTTAATGCTTGATTTTTCAATAAATCCATATATAAGGCAAGAGCGCCCGTACATTGGGCACATTTCCTCCTTGTCGTCTTTGTTGCTTTTTTCCTAAACTCTAGGGGGACCGACCAAAATTCCATTATCAACAAACAACAGAAAATTTTTGACTTCTAGCTTATTCTACAAATATGAACAATAATTATCTATTGCCCCATGTAATTTCGTCATACATTAATCAAAACGTGGCCTGGAAAGCAAAGAAAATTCCTTGTTTTCTTGTGGAAGCGCTGATTCGACGTTGAATTATAGTTTGAAGCTTTTTGATAATGATATAATGTTCTTTTTTAAAGTTTGTGTCTCCCTTTTTTATAGTCTGCAAGCGCCGCTGATACAGGGCACGTTCCTTAAATTCAGAGGCTACTATATAGAAATATAGAATCAGCGGCAATTTTTCTGTTAGATGTTATAATAAAAGTACTATTTTGATTTTACTTGGGCGATAACATTTTTTTTTTTTTTTTATGATCTTACTTTTCGTCCGAAATTTAAATTTTTCGGGTTATGTTCAATTAGTGGAGTTATTAGCGGAAGTGGAAGACATCAATCATGTTGGATCAAAGCAATGACGTAACTAGTAGACTAAAGTGACCAGACATCCCGGATTAACCGGGACAGTCCCAGTTTTTGGCTTTTTGTCCCTACTACGAGAAATCTTCTGTGGGTGGGGAAGATAGAGATAAACGTTTCGTTTATTTTCAGTTCTTGAAACTTAAATACGAACTATTTGACGAAGTTTCGTGTATATTATTAAAAGTTATGATTATTAAAATATATCCTAAAAGCAACTATTTATTGTGACATCGTCACAATGTCGGGGTATAATTTTTAATCATATTTTTAATATATTTAATTTAAAATATATGCTCGCCACCTCAAATTAGTAGTGTCTTGCCCCTGTACACCATACTTTTCCTGTTAGCAATAGAGTCGTGACGGTCATCTATCTAACTCCTTTCGAGAGAAAAATTTAAATTGAAATAACGTTACTTTCGGTTTGTACTGGAAGTTCTTATATAATTAATCGGAACTAGTATCTCTACGTTTTTTCCATCTAATTCCATTCTAGAGATTAAGAATAGACAGACAAACAGACAGACGACATTTGAATGTATATGTCTACAATTTTTTTAAAATTGCAACCCAATCACCTATAACTTATTATAAATATTGGCAACGCTTCCAGTAATAGTATGCGTTAGTAAAAGATTATTTTCCACCTTACATCTTTTAAAAACCTATTTAAGATCTACCATGACACAATCAAGATTGAACGGACTGGCTTTGCTATATATACACAGAGATTAATATAACCACGACTGAAGTAATTCAAGAGCTTTCTAAAAAGAAAAAAACCTGAATTTCATTCTTTAAATAAATTTTTATAATCACTTAATGAATTTTATTGAATTAGCATCGAAATTTTTTATCAGTTCCCTAAGATTAAATTCTGAGTATGCCACTGATTCCAAGTGCCTCAATGTATGAATGTTTTTGCATTCGGTCATTAATAGGCCTAGTGGAGCGTTATCCTATGAGCAAAAAGGGCAATTGCCTGGAGCCTCCACTAACAGAAGCCTCAAATCAATTTTTTATAAATTCATTACTGTAGTAACAATATTTAGAGACCGTGTTAAAAAACGAACGAGGATATCGATAATTCCCGCAAAAAGTCCTGAAAACAAATGTTTGAAGATTTTAAACTGTTTTACATATTTGTGCAGAGGCATAGCCTCTAAAGAAAGGTTGTCTCTGCAATGGAAATAGTTGTTCCTGGTGATTGGACATGGCAAGCAAAATTGGACTCGTATCCAGATGTACAGTAGAACCCCACTGTCCATTCCTCGTCACTTTCTGACGTTTCTGAATCTGAATCTGGGCGATTTGTATTAGTGACAGGTTTGCTTGCTGGCATGGCAGGCGGAGGTACTTCTTTCGATGCATTTTCATTTTCCGAGCGTTTTCTTTTCGCCAGGGACAAGAGTTCTTCGTCCAGATCTTCAGGACTTTCACTCTCGTCACTACTGGACTCAAATACAACCCGATTCTTCTTCCGCTTAACCATTTGTACTTTTACTTCACTCAATAATTGCCACTAAGCACTTATATTTAATATTAAATAGAAAATTTGAACTTACATAAGTCATCCTCGATATTTTTGACAATAACATTTGTGAAAGCGCGAAAATGGAGACAAGCACAAGCCACAATTTCCACAAAAACATCGAGCGATGGCGCCGCTTAGCGGACGTTTCCGATTGTAAAGAACAAATTCAAAATATTTCGTTTATAACCCGAATACGTCATCAATGTCGTCGTATATAATTTTAACTAACTGATTTTTTAATTTTGAGAAATTCCTTTCCATTTTATTTATCTTCCTATAAAATATACACATTAAATAAATTATAATTAATTATTTCTTTCCAAATTTGTTTTTCTTAAACCGGTATCTTATTTCATATTTAAAATTTTGTGTACAATCGATTTCTTTAATAAAAGTATTTCCATCGGCGACGTACTTCCTTAAACATTACAAATCAAACTTGTTGGCCGTTAAGATTTGAAAAACATATGGCATGTATTAAAGTGACACTGAAAATATTTCGTATAGAATTCGGTTAAGACAATAAGATACGTAAATCAGACATTTTTATTCTATATTAACTTTTATGGTGTTAATGTCTTATGGAAGGAGAGCTATCAGAGAGGGCTTATCAGATTAAAAAAAAACCGCTTATCCAAAATAGAGGAATGGAGAATACCATATAGTAATTCTGGATCGGAGCTATTTGATTTTACGTTTAAGAGGGCCTCAAAAATATTTATTACAAATGATTCATTCTATTACATTTCTTGTATATTAAGAAATTTTGCAATCAAATGTTATTACTTTAAAATATTAAATTTTTTAATGCTTGATTTTTCAATAAATCCATATATAAGGCAAGAGCGCCCGTACATTGGGCACATTTCCTCCTTGTCGTCTTTGTTGCTTTTTTCCTAAACTCTAGGGGGACCGACCAAAATTCCATTATCAACAAACAACAGAAAATTTTTGACTTCTAGCTTATTCTACAAATATGAACAATAATTATCTATTGCCCCATGTAATTTCGTCATACATTAATCAAAACGTGGCCTGGAAAGCAAAGAAAATTCCTTGTTTTCTTGTGGAAGCGCTGATTCGACGTTGAATTATAGTTTGAAGCTTTTTGATAATGATATAATGTTCTTTTTTAAAGTTTGTGTCTCCCTTTTTTATAGTCTGCAAGCGCCGCTGATACAGGGCACGTTCCTTAAATTCAGAGGCTACTATATAGAAATATAGAATACAGTAATTATATAACATAAAATTACCTGAATCATTTAACAGAGCCCGAAATTAGTTTGTGCTTAACCTTGGTTTATTCGTTTACGGGAACGCGATCTGCAAGGGAATGTCTTCCGGGAGGACTTTCTAAAAGAAACTGACCCATATGACAAACGTATAAAAAACCCGGAAAACTTCAGGTAGTCAAGACGCGAACCCACGACCTGGTAAGAAGCATCGAACTCTGGTAGTTACCAGTGTTCGATGCTTCTTATCCACTCGGCAAACGGTACCAAAGGGATGCAATTAGGCTAACTTGGGCTTGAAAGCAAGGAACATTCCTTGTTTTCAAGGTCAAGTTTCGGTCAACATACGACGAAGTTACATGGGACAAGGGACAAAGATCGTCCATTAGTTTCTTTTATAGGCTAGAAGTCATGAATTTTCTGCCGTTTGCTGAGAACTGAATTCGGATCCTTTTTGGGAATTATGAAGAGCGACACAGACGAAAATCGGGACACTTGTCCTAAGCAATGACGCATACAGGGGGCTAGGATCCATGCACCCCCAAAGACAAAGGAGTAAAAACACTAAAAAAAATTTTCAAAAAACACTTCCTAATTAAAATTCATTTTTATATTCATATTTTGTTGTTTCTTCTATTTCTAAATTACTTGTGAATTAGCGGTTACATAAGGTGGTAATTCTTATAGCTTTTGGAAATTACGGGTGCTGAGAACACACGGCAAATGAAGTGGTGTTCGGATGGACCGAGCGCTACTTCGTTTGTCCAACCTGAATCAGCAGAAATTACGGGTATCGTATTTTCGATTTTTGCAGATGCTCAGCAATAGGTCATACCCGATGCGTAGTATATATTCTCAAATGGTCTGCCCAAAGCACGTATTCTGTATTATTTTGAATTGGGTTTATTGAAAAGTATATCTTATACTATAGGGCGAGTATGTTTTTCAATCAGAGAAATATCGGTCAAATGTCGCTTGGA